AATGCGCATATGGCATTCACAATGAATTGCGGGTGCCAGCCGATGTAACGTCAGTCTTTCCATCTTCCAAGGCGAGTCTGATACCAAATGACCGGCCTTGGAGGAAAGAGTGGCTTGAATGGTACAGCGAATGTCGATTCGTGGTTTGAATCCGTGATCATGCGTCTGTGATGGTGCGCCACTTGTCCCTACACCACCTCTTTCCGCCTCCAAAGTGATACTATATGATAAAACAAACTTACTAATTCTATAACCAACCACCCAACTAACCAACTAACTCGCCCGTCATTACATTACTTATGTGTAATAGCAACATTATATTTTTGCAGTGCCACTGTGCATCCTTGGCAACGATATCTTTTACGGTATAAGAAAATTCAGTGAGACCTGTGGCCTTAAAACAAAATTTATTTCTATGTAACGGTTGGTAGACGAGTTCACTTGCTCTAGGTTAGCCAGTCAAAAACAGCTGCAAAAAACTGCTGATTTTGGTAAGCAAGTCTAATCTCAATGGAAAAAAGCTTTTAGAAGTTCTACTGAAAGACAATTATATTTTCCAAAATTATCTCGGAGCTGCTGATTCTTAATGTTCTAATGCTCACTGGTAAGGCACAAGTCAAAACACTCGTCATAAAATATTTGTAATGCTATTCAAGTATGCAACATTTGAAATCCAACACATAATGTATGCTCACACTAATGACTTGTCCATATAAAATATGCGCAGAGGGTGAAGGAAGAAACGACTACTCTTAAAAACTCGACTTCATTATCAAAACTCTCCATAAAACTCATAACACTCCTGGTTGTTCCTGTAACGTTCTGTAGCAGTTCGTTACCATGAGCGAGCTGAAACTTGTCTTTTTCTCATACCTCTTATTTCTGAGAATTCATTATGGAAGCGAAATTGGCCTCTTAAGTTATTTCTCCAAGGGCGGAGGTGGTATAAGGCCAAGCGGCGCCCTATCACATGGTCACGGTTTCGAGTTCCGGACCGATATCCGCCTAGGCCAGCCTTCCATCCTTTCGGTGTCGACCAACTGTTACTAGACCTCGTCGGTACGTCTGAGAGTATAAACTGGGAGTACTGACTTGTACATCCGCTAGCCACGGCATTTCATTGTATGAGCCACATATACATTCAGTGCACCCTACGATTCCGAATAGAAGTCGAATGCGGGGGCCATTCCTGTTATTGCAGCTACTGTAGGAGCTTGAAAGGACTAGGTGATGATTTCTGGTTGATTTTCGGACGTTATAATAAGCCTACTAATTGAGGATGGGTGAGAGGCAGAGATTAAAGGGATGCCAAAGGAGCTGTTCGAACCGTGGTTTCATGTGAATAAGTGCTTCAAAAAAATTGATTTGCTGCCTGCACCTATGGCATATTTCAATTATTGTTGGAACGCTGTTTTTTCTTCAATTCAAGAGCCCGTATAGACTTTTAATGACTGAAAATGACTTGTAACTAATCGTATCAAACGAGTGAAGATCAAATTAGTGCCGGCTTTGAATGGTTATTATGATGACTGACTCATTGAACAGTTGTTTTCTTTTCAACTCAAAGAGCTCATCACCTTATACATTTCCAGGATGATGAATGTTGCGCTGTATTTTGCAGTCCTAACAGGTCTTCTGGTGAATTTTCCAAAATTCGAACTACTAACCATTTACGTTAGTATAGGGTTTATTGAAAAGCTATTTCAGGTGCATCTCGCTATGGGATCCGTGAAAAGAATGATTGATCCCCAATTTCTACACTTCGGTTGAATGAAATAGTTCATATGTCATAATGAATCTTGTTCCATTTCCGTTCATGGTGTCGGAGAGGATTCCGCTGTCAACAATTTGGATGCGAAATGAACAACCTTACGATAGAGAACGTTGGAAGCGCCCAGAAAGTCAAGAGCATCTGAAAAGGTTGAGAACCAGAAGATTCGCTCCTTTTCAGAAGCTCTTGACTTATCGTGTTGAAAGGTGAACTTATTATCGTAGTTGAGCCTTTCACAAAGAATTTTCTTTTGAACGATTCTCAATCAGTGATATACAGAGTGGGCCAAAATTATGATGACACAGATATAACATTACCGAAAACGAACAAAAGCTAGCAAAACAATCAATTTCAAAAAAGTGCTCATCCTTAATCTCTTATTAAAATGGTACAATGAGAATAAAATCTGTTGCTTTCTGCTTCCACTCAAGCCCGGAGACGATGTTAGGAGGCGTCGGAGGCGGCGCGCAGGTAGGGCGCGTTGATTACACCTTTTCCATGGCATTTGCATTTCCATACTGTTTCAATTCCTGTCGAGGCTAACCCATGTCTATATTCAAAAGGTTGACCACACTTAGACATCCATGGAATTCAGGACAGGACTCTCAAGTGGCCACTGATTGAAGGTTATGATTTCGGACTCCTTTTACGAAATCCCTGGACAACCTCCGATTTGCGGTTAAGTTTCATATCGACATACATACGCTTTGGATCTCTCGCACTGTGGTGACCTTGACGTGGGCTCCGGCTAGAAGATTGCATCGGCGGTGGAGCCTCGCAAAGTCGCGGCTGTGGGATTCCTGGTGCCCACCACACTTGAGGGTTGTCAGAGTGTGCCTGCGAATGCTCGTGGCGTTTTACCTATATCCTGACGCGAGAAGCGGTAGGCCTTCCAACCCTCCAACTGAGCCAACGGTTGATGATCCGGACGGAAGAGACGAATGTCCAAGATGAGTGGTCAACTGGCGGACGTCTGGGATGGAACGACGACGATGAGAGCCGGACGACTTGAGAAACATGACCTGCGACACTGCGACACAATATTTTGACTGAATATTATTGAACGCCTTGGACGGGCCTAGACCGAGTTCGCGTTAAAAGGAGGGTCGATGACAGTTAGCTTATAATGGGCCTAACAAAAATGTAAAGGATAAGGCACTGGTAAGTTTGCAGGAGGTGGTATGGCGTTGACGTCGACTAATCGTAGTGGTCCGATCGCTTTCCATAGCGAATTATTTTGCGACGTTGATCGTACTTGTCGTTGAATTGATTGCATGGATTGCGAAGACGATGATGTTGACGAAAAATATGGTCCTACACTATTGAGCGTAATTCACGCGTGGGAGATTTGTGCGAGAACGATTTTTGGCTGACTCGATGTTGACACGAAAGAAGTGGGGGTCGAGCTCCAAATAGTCTTCCTGTTCCTCCTGGGTAATCCGAGAGATCTTCCAATCGCAAGTTGTGTGGTTGTTATTCCCGATGTTCCATAAGCGTGAACCCTTGTAACTGTATAGTAGGGTAGTAGGTGAGTAACGAATATGTATAAGTAATGAGTAAGGGAGGGGCGATAATATGAAGCTGGACTCAAGGTCCAAGCAGAAACAACAAATAAATCAAAACAAATGTGGAAATAAAGGTAAAGAAAATGGTGATTAAATAGTGAGCTATATATTATGTACATATATACAGTACTATTATTTGAGTGGGCTGATGTTTTGCCCTCATTAAATACCGTAAAAACTTACATAGATCTGATTCTCGTGCGACAAGATGTTCGACAATGTTTACGAAGACAACGAAAGCAACGGCCTTGTTGAGCTGCCTTCAGATAACGAGCTGACAACTCTGTAACGTTCTTACAACCAGCAGAAAAGGGCTGTTCCGACCAGAAATAGCAATTGGGTATATCCTGCTGATGAGACTGTTGCTGCGAACCTTGTGCCGATATGGATGGTTCTGACGACTCTGGAGTTTATGTCCAATCTGTACAACAGATGGAAACCTTCGTCGGACAGAGAAGTCCGGTTTGTGTGCACGAGATTCTTGGGTGGAATATGACCAATTATCTGAATCATCAGCATGCGTGTCTTTACGATTAGGAGCCTATGTTGATGGCTGTCCTGAGTGAGCTGTTTCCATGGCCGAAGGTGATGGCGAATTGGACGGACTAGGAGCAACTTGAACAGATGTGACAACGGCATCTACTTTTGGCGATGTAACTGCTGGAGAAGTAGACTGAGTGGAAACTGTGGAATTAGCTAGTGTTGTAGCTGAAAGTGTAGCTTCCTTCAGTAGCTTGACAACCGAGTCGACATTGTGATCACGAGTGACTAGTCCAAGAAGCTGCTTAGTCGCGGGGAGTTCTTCATCGTCAGTGGTGAATGTTTCGCAGGAGACGTTCAAATTATACTTGATCGAGTTGACAATGTGCTGGAAGTGGGTATAACAAGTGACCAAACGAAGCATTGAATGGTATTTATTGATGTCGCCAAGGGATTGTTATATGGCTAGCAGAAGCCGTTATCCATACACCTTTTAATTTTCACAGATACATTTACTTTAGTCTGGTCAAGGTTTGCAGATTATTGGTAGGCGAATGTGTTCCACTGCAAGTGGTCTCACTACTGGGAGCGAAGTAGTCTTCTATTGAGGCGCAAAACTCAATGAGTAGTTATTGTACTGGAAAACGAGGAATAGGCCGAATTTAGTTCCCTACGCTCTATAGTAGTGTTAAGTAAGTCATTCAACATACTATTGCCACCTACTGTACCATCCGGAACGAACATACTATGTGTCAAGACTGCATAGCAAGCACGACAAAGGCTAGGAACCAAGAGGCTTTCGCTCTCCAAGGTCCCTTACCATACCTTATCATATGTTGACAATTCCTCTCGTCTTCTATCTTCAACCACGTCGCCAGACTGTCAAGGCTCCACGGTTAGTGCGAGGCGCATCGCGGACCAAGCGGATCGTGAATTCTGTGATGCCACTGCCTTTATCATTTGTTATCAATTCCTCTCATCAGTCGTCCACGAACCGATTAAACTCATCTGCGAACCGACCGATATCTTCCCCCCCCCC